TCATTTAAGAAATGAAATTCTAGCTGACTCTGAACATGCCTTTATGACACCGGGTTGTTTATCTAGCCCTCGCGTCACAGTCCTATGTCCTGCTTTAATTGACAAGAACTATTGACTTTGCCTGAGTACTGTTTGCAAAGCCTAATTGCGCATGAGATGCGCTGAGACTCTGTTTCCATGACAGCTCCCATGAACAGTTTACGTGCGCTTCGCTAGGAAGTGCATCCAGTTGCACATCAACAGTCGCTTTTACCACCACCTTGTAAGGTGATGCACCGGACACAAATCACTGGCTCTGGGTCAAGAAAGGGAAAAGCAAAGAAAATCCTTTCCCCTCCAGTGCAAACGCACGACTACTGAAGTCTATAATCGAAACTAAAAGAGCAACGTATTCACTCCGAGCTCCAAAGCCGTCACTGGGTTTTAAATGGTTTTGCGGGCTCTCGGGTTTGTCCCTCACGGCGGCTCGTAGTTGAAGTACCTGAACCGACCGGTTGCTGTTTTTTTAAAGGGACAGAAGCGACAGAGGTTGCGTGCAAAATCTCCGGGACGGACAGCAACTTTTACCATGACGAAGGAAGAGAAACGCGGACTGCAGATGTTTCAGAACTGACGACTCAAAGAGGAGGGAAAGAAACCCCCGTTTTAACTGGGTTGAATATCTCGCACCTCTGGAGTTATAACAGGGGTGAGTGAAGTCCATTTATGCCTTTTAAAAAAAAAAAAAGAAGACCAAAGAGGAATCTCAGCAATTATAAACAGCAAGAAACTGTCTCCCAGAAATCACTTAAATAAATTAAGTTTAACTAATAAACGTCTCCAAACATTTTACAATTAGCTAGCAGTCACTGTGCTAACTCTTTTTCCGCTTATTTTATTTAGCAGACGACGAAGGGTGAAGTGTTTTGAAGACGTCTAGCGCACACGATGTATAGATACAGTGCTGCGCTGGGTTACACGTCTGTGGTTTTGCGTCAATTTACTCTGAAAAATTAAACGGATTTACTTTCAGAGTTACGTCTCAGAGCCCCGAGAGTTCAATGGCTTTCTTGTGAGGAATAATTTCTATTTTCTTTTTTAAACAAAAAGAACATGTAACATGTAGCTCTTTGTAGCCACCCTGGTGTATTGACATCGCAACAGCTGTCGCTGAAGTCGGGTACGTCGCCTACATTACCAGTAACATCGGGGAGAAAAAAAAAACTTTTTCAGTATTGTTGAGCTCATGATACCCGAAAGGTAACCTCATCTCGGTGAAGCCTGAGCTTCGGGGGGCTTTTGCGTACCCGTAAATGACCGATAACACCAATACCAGCTGCAGCCCTTTATTGCAGCTGCTGTTGGAGAAAAAGATGGATAACCATGGCAACGGGGCCAGGGGGAACCGAGAGGGCTTCCGCTGGAAGAGTTGACTTCGTCACCATTTGCACACACCTGTTGAGGCTCCTTTTCCCAGATTCTAGTAAAATACGGTCAGATAGGAGAGTAGTGCTTGCAGGCTTGAGTAGAAGCACTACTGTAGCAGCTGCCTCAGAAAGGGGAAGTCGGCTGTAGGTAGGCTTACTGAAGCTGTAGCTTCTTTGAAGGCACAGTTTGCATGCTGCTTGTAATAAAAAAAAAACATTCCGTTCCACTTTTAGTTTCTTAGATTTGAATTGTCCACGTTATTGCTCTATTTTGTAGCGAACGGTTTCGTATAAAAATCTCTCGGTGCCACAAGAAAAATGTGGCGTTTGACATTTGCTATTGTGTTTTAAAGCAGTGGGACAAAATGTGGATGCTGCCGTAATTTTCAGTGGTGGATGGAAATATGAGAAGTCAGTGCCCCCCCTTTCCTTTAAACAGGCCTTGTACTGAGATAAAGATGTTATTTGTGGTTGATAAGCACAGGCATGAAACACTGGGTACTGGAACAGCAGCACATCTTCGAAGGAGGTCTTGTTAGTGTCACATAGACTCGGGTGCCCTGTCCTGACGTCTTGGAAACATGTGGCCTTGAAAGAATTGAACAAGTTTCAGATTCTTGTCTTATATGTGTTTGCCGAGCTGCTGGAGGAATCCAAAGGCTGCAGGTGATCATCTTATCTGCTGTTTCTGTTTGCCTTGCTTGTCCTTTGTGTGTGGGCCCACTGAGGGGGGGGGGAGAAGTGTGTTTTTTTTGTTAGAAATGGAAACAATTATTGGCAAGGTCCTCGACAATTCCATTTTGTGGAAAAGAAACAAAGAACGGAATGGATTTTCATCTCAAATGTGTATCAGAGTCGTTCCAGCGGACACTTGAGTTCCAGAAATACAGCGGTGCAGAGAAACCCTCGCTTCATTTCCTGCTCCTAAAGTCCCCCGGGTGGCTTAGAGATGTACAGATTGGCGTTCTGGGGAAAACAAATCAAAAGTCAAGATTATGGGAGACATTTCTTTCCAGCCATGGATTTGGGTTAGACCTGTCTTGTCCCGTCTAACCCCATCCTACCCCTGTGTGCACGGTTCTTTGTGCAGTCGGCTGTTTGTTGTGATGACAGGGGCTGTTTCCAGCTTTATTTCATGGTGGTGTGACTGCGGTTGTGTTGCAGGAACTGGATGGCCTCGGTAGCACCAGTCAAGACAGAGAAGCGACCTGCCTCTGCTGATGCAGACTCCGCTGCCAAGAAACCCAGGTAGCCGCGCGCCTCTAAGCGGTGCTAAGTCACCGTTCTAAGACTCTGTTGCGTTTGCCTTTGGGCTTGCGTTTCTTTGTGGTGTCGATCATTTTGCAGAAAAATCTGCTGCTGATATGACAAAGGAAGTCTGTCAGCTGTTTCTTTTTTTCCAGGGCCTTCCCACTAAAGTCGCAAACAATGTTGCGTCTTTAATGATTTTTTTAAAAGCAAGCCGCCATAAGTCTCTTGTCAAAATAAATCTGAGAAAACGATACAATACTTGCCCTGTCTAGAGTCTTCTTTTGAATCATGGCTCAAGAACCGATGTATTGCAGAAACGCTCAGCTATGCGTCTCTTGCCCCGTGCCGCCCCGCAGGAAGCTCCTGCCCAGCCTGAAGACGAAGCGCGCCCCCGAGCTGGTGCTGGTGATCGGGACCGGGGTGAGCTCGGCCGTGGCGCCCCAGGTGCCGGCGCTGCGCTCCTGGAAGGGGCTGATCCAGGCGCTGCTGGACGCCGCCAACGACTTCGACCTGCTGGAGGAGGAGGAGAGCCGGCGCTTCCAGCAGAGCCTGCAGGAGGACAAGAACCTGGTGCACGTGGCCCACGACCTCATCCAGAAACTGTCGCCGGTAAGCAGGTGCCCGGGGGGCTCCCGCACGCTTCCTGCCCCGAGCTCCTTTCGCTCTCGTTGTTGCTTTCGGTCTTTCTGTCGTCGTGGAGAACGAACGTCCCTCGTGCCTGGTCAGTCAAATTTGAGATCAGGACATTTCCAGCTGCAAGGTCACTCCCTCGTCTAACCACTTTATCCAATAGAGGCTTGAGGTGGAGCTGGAGTCTATCCCAGCAAGCAATGGGCGCGAGGCAGGATACCCTCTGGACGCGACACCAGTCCATTCCTGCGAATCCTTATGGATTTGTTTTTTCTGATGCGTTTGCCTGTTCCATATATCTAAACCGTCAAAAAGTCTTATTGTAAGGTCGAAGAGCAACAGAAAGATGCCTTTATGGGTAACTCCTGATTCTAAGTATTTACGAGATGTATCGCGGTCCTCCTCGTGGCACATGTTACAAAATTATTTCTAACATGTGACAACAAAACTTGATCTATTTAGACGTTTTATGAATTATGTTACTGAGTTTACAGAAAAAAACTGCACTGAACTGGCCTCTGCAGAGAACCTGAGATGAACTTCCAAAATAAAAGAGAGTCTTGGGGTTGTTACAAACTGATCTACTATTAGGGAACATGGAAATGCAAAGTAATACTGACTTGTCATAGGTGCTAATGTAGAGATGGTTTTAAAAAGCCAACTGGGTAAACACTGCTGTGCTATGCTGTGCCTAGAGAACAGAAGCAAGGAATTTAGAAAAGGCATTTGTTTTGTGATTTCTTGTTTATCTAAAGCCAAACTATGTGACCTTTGTTCCTGTCGCTTCCTGTATCGGTCTTGTCTCTCTGTTCAGTTGTGGTTCATTTGTTTCATCACACTGCATTTTCCAGAGCAAATGGTCCACTGTTGCTTGGCAGCAATTTGCTGTCTTTCCTGCTTTAAAATCAATTAAAGCATAGTTTAAGAGGCACAGTCATGAAAAGGGACTCTATAAAGTACTGTTCTGTAAAAAATGTGACAAGGGGGCATTGCAAAGGCCTTGTAAGAGCTGTAGAAAAGAGAATGCATATACAATAATAATAATAATTGCTTACACTTATATAGCGCTTTTCTGGACACTCCACTCAAAGCGCTTTACAGGTAATGGGGACTCCCCTCCACCACCACCAATGTGCAGCATCGCGAGTAGAGTCAGCTTTTATGCTTTCTAGCATTTACACAAGGATTGTGTATTCACTAGAAGGTAAGGTTTTCATACCAAGATTGGAACACAAAACATCACATACCTAGTTATCGTTGCAGTTATTTACATTGGTGTGAATCCAATCACGGTGAACAGGAGACAGATGCCATGTTGGTCATGTTATGAGAAAGCCAGGGAAAGAGTGGATATTTCCAGTGAGGATTCGAGTAAAGAAAGGCTCAGTGTTTCTGTTGCAACTACTTGTAAAAAAATATCATTTCTGGCTGGTTCAAGGCTGAAGTATGTTTGTGTGGTAAAATCTATATTTGGGTTTAATCTCCTTGACTAATATGGATGTGATTGCCCGGAGTTTCTGGTCTGACAAAGTAGACACCTGTGCCCTGTGGTTATGTGAACTCGGCCGTTAAAAAGGTTCTCCGGTAGGGCTTTACTGAATTGCAAACTGTTTGGCAACAAGAGATTCTTGACTATTGGAATTGTCTTTGTGGGTTTTGAGGATGGGGAATTGTAACAGATGCACAATATTGTCTGAAGTTAATTTTGGATATGCTGTTATGATGTGCTTCAGTCAAATGAAGACCCACAGGGGTATCCAGTCAAAAGAGTGTTTTTCTTGGATGTGTCAGCAGTTGTCTTTGACCTTGCAGATGTGATTATAGCAGTTTTTCCATTATTTTGTTAGCTGTGCCTCTCTTGTTCATTCCTGCTTAACCATAGCATTAGGGAAATTAACCTGCTGAGCTGAGCAGCATATCTTCAAAAGGGGGAAATTGTCCACATGAAAATGGTGTTATAATGTTTTGGTTTGTTTTTGATTGAGGTTAATCATGCTATGCTAAAGCTCTGCAATCTCTTTCTCTCTGCTTTGTGCTGAAGAAGCATTGTGAAGCTGCCCCGCTGTGCTGAAATTCTCTCAGCTGTGTGTTGTGACCTGAATCTTTTCAACAAGCTGATAATGCACACTAGAAAAGTACATGCTTCCTTAGCCCAGATTATGCCTGGAAGGTTTCACAAACAAAGCTAAAAAACTAAGAAAAATAACTTTTTGTTTTATAAACATGCTCCATGGCCTCTGACATTAAGCCTGCTTGTTTACACACACAACTTTTAAGACGCAAGTTGGCTTTCTGAATGGGAACCTCACGTCTCTTTATAAGTTTGTCAATGTGAGTTTTCTGTTCACAGCACCCAGATCTTTCTTACCGACAAACATCCTGGGGTGATTTTCTCCTCATACAGCTGTCACTTTTAACGAACAGCCAAAGATTGACATGTTCTGGGTGACCTGAAGGCTCATCTTTTATAATCGATGGGTGATTTCCAGCTGAGATAATCTCAGACTTCTTCCAGATCAAGACAGGGTGGCTTGAAACCTTATTGTGACCTTGTGATAAATTCTGAAGGATGCAGCCTCTTCTTTTTTTTTTCTGTCTTCCTAGAGTGTAGTCTTTATACCACCCTGTGAGCCTAGGGACCTATTGTACTGCAGGACAAAAAAAGTAGTATTTCTGATATCAGACTATGACATTTACCTGGTGCTAGTAGGCAGTGGTAAAAGTGACTATCGACCAAAATGAATCTTCACTTTAGTCCATTATCTCTGACCTTTGTGTCTCTGTGCTCCTGTTGTCCTGTTAATTTGACAATGGATGAGGTTTTCAAAGCTATTCATGGAAGCTTCTCTCCTGTGCTTCTGAGAATTGTTACCAAGTGGGATCTGAATGCCCAGCTCAGTATAATGAGATTTCCCTTGGCCAGACGGTAATCCTGAGCCCAGTCAAATGGCTCACTTTAACATTTCCGCCTGCGTCGGTCAGTCTGGGTGCTCATGTCGAAGATTCCCACACCGGGATTTTGTTCCCGCCCCCTCTCCCCACCCCCCAAGTTAAATATTTCAAATTGGTATAAACATTCAGTTAGTGAAACAAAGAAAGTTGTGCTAATAATTTGAAATAATTTAAATGAGTTGTGAATCATTTTGAGATGATTATACTATAAAAGGACATTACAGCAGTAGGGCATGATTCGTATCCTTGAGAACACTCCTGTCTTGAAGTTCTCTTTAATCCCAGCTAATTAGGCTCATTAATTTGACCAGTTTACCACTAACGTTCCAAGGGTCTTCAGCTGCTGATGATAAGAAGGGACCCAGCTGGCTGATGACCCTGGACCGGCCCTCTCCTCTCTCCGCAGCGCACGGGTAACGTCCGCTCCACCTTCTTCAAGGACTGCCTGTACGAGGTGTTTGACGACCTGGAGTCCAAGATGGAGCACGCTGGGAAGCACCTCCTGCGCTCGGTCCTGCAGCTCATGGAGAGCGGGGCGCTGGTCCTCACCACCAACTTCGACAACCTGCTGGAGATCTACGCGGCTCACCAGGGCACCAAGCTGGAGTCCCTGGACCTCACCGACGAGAAAAAGGTCCCCCTGCTACCTGCCTTCTGTTCTGTGGTGACCACACAGCTACAGCTACGCACGCTTCTCCAGAAAAGCCTCGTCCTCTTTGAGCAGCACCTGTTTCTGTCACTGTCTATCACTAGTGTGCTGGATAGTTATTTCACAAATCGAGTCTGCAAGCCGTATGAATATAATGACAGTGGTGGTTACTGGGAAGTACCCATGAAGATATATATGCTCACAGCATAACTCATTGGTAAAAGTTGTGTGGCTTGTTAAAATATTGCAAGTTCAGTACTGTAGACTTTTAATAAGCAAAGTTACCAAAGATGCACTGTATAGCTTTTCATGAGGAGTGTTAACAAACCAACAGGGTTGCGTCTGGTTTTATACACAGGAAGTATGCTCACTTGACTGGCATGCAGCACGAGTGACTATTATAAAGCCGGCCTGTACCATATACTGTATGTGGAGTCTGCATTTCAGACAGAATGCGTGTTATTTTACACTGTGTCCCGTGCTGAGCGCCCTGCGCGGGCGAGGGCCTGACTCACGCTAACGCTGGGCGCGTGCCGTGTTCTGTGTGGCACAGGTGCTGGAGTGGGCCCAAGAGAAGAGGCGGCTCAGCGTGCTGCACATCCACGGCGTTTACACCAACCCCAGCGGCATCGTGCTGCACCCCGCAGGGTACCAGAACGTCCTGAGGAACACTGAGGTCATGGTGAGGGGACTGGGGGGGCAAGCCGGGTGTGCTTCCATTTGAGCGATAGCAGCAGGCGCAGCTCCTCTGTTTCTTAGGAGTACAACATTCTTACACCAAGCTACGTTTATACCTGTTTTGTTATAAAGAATCGACTCTTTAAATGTGTGATATTTCTAAAATGTCACATTGATCTTCCACACTGCATAGGTGAGTCCAGAGTCAGTTTAAATGTTTCTCTTTGTCATGAAACATCAGGGTTTATTTATTTTTTGCTATGAATCTAGCATGAAGGAAACCGCTAGCACAGGAGGTGCCGTCTTACCTTGGCGTGAGTTCTGGTTCTGCGGTTTCTGAACTTTGCCATTCCTCTGTAATTGATGCCCGCCTACATGTGGTTTGTTTTGTTTTGTTTTTCGCGGCCCCCGCGCAGAGGGAGATCCAGAAGCTGTACGAGACCAAGTCGTTCGTGTTCCTGGGCTGCGGGCGCACCGTGGACGACACCACCTTCCAGGCCCTCTTCCTGGAGGCGGTCAAGCACAAGTCGGACCTGGAGCACTTCATGCTGGTGCGGCGCGAGGACGTGGGCGAGTTCAAGAAGCTGCGCGACAACATGCTGGACAAGGGCATCAAGGTCATCTCCTACGGCAACGAGTACGCGGACCTGCCGGAGTACTTCGAGAGGCTGGCCAACGAGATCTGCACTCGAGATGTGGCCGTCAATGGCTGGGGTGGGTCCTTTCTGCACACACTCTCCTCCGAGAGAGCCCGATGAGATCTTAGTTTAGCAGTGCTGGACTCATCAGTGGAATGAGAAGATGTATTTGGCAGTGTATTCACCTAAGCACCTAATATAACTTAATACTGTTAAGTTACTTTTAAGTTAACCTTTTCGTTTTTTAACGATCTGAAACAAACGGGAGATTTTTGTCAAAAGCTCACTATTTAAGTCGGCATTAATGGGGCTGATTTAAGGATATCTGCAGTGCAAACAACTGTGGATATAATATCAAATCAAATCAAAGTTTATTTATCAAATGCACAACAATACGGCGTGCAGCAGTAGTTGCTGGCAATGAAATGTCTTTTTCTGCGAGCTCACAAAAATTACAAGAATCACAAAAATCACAAAAATTCACAAAAACACAAAAATCACAAAATTGAGGTTACATTTTTGAAATTGAATAAAACTCAATGTGAGAAGAGCTGTTATGTGTCCATGGTGTATGCAATATATACATGTAGTGCAATTATGATGAATATAGTGAGAATTGTGTGTCCATGTAGCCATTAGAGGTGATTTGCTAAGGAGCTACAGGTTGGCTGTTTAGCAGTCTTATTGCCTGGAGGTGGAAGCTGTTCCGTAGTCCGTAGTCTGTTCTGTAATATCCGGATTACCTTGTAGCAGGGCAATTCTGTGAAATGTGCGAAATTTCACACTGTGGAATGTGGAAGCTAAATTTAAATGAGCCAAGGTGCACAGTTTTATGTAGCGCAGTTAGGCTAAAGAGTGTAGCCAGTATGTTGGGTTATTTACTGTGTGAACAGCCAAGAGGTGAGGTGAATTGTGAATTCTGGTAGTATTAAGTAAAATCTGTGGAAGATTGGGAGGAAAGTACAGTTTAGCACTAAGATTAATCTCTAAGCAGGGAGATAAATCCCTAAGCATGAAGTATGAAGTTGTCTTGAAAGGGTTTAACCAAAATCAGGTATGCTACCAAAGAGGCCACATGATGCACACTGGTAGGGAAAGATGATGCCCTTAGTGCTACCAAGAAACAGTCAGCCAGGTGATGAAATAAGAACTGCAGTACAGGCCCCTGAGAGAAACAATCATCAGCATTAAAGCTGAAACCTCTGGCCAGGCATGTATGTCCATGTAAAACAAATGTGCCCAGTGCCTCAGATATTGGAATTGTCCTGGGGCACCAACACAAAGTCTTCAAGTAGCAATGCATGAAATATATGAAGTATATGATGATCCCTTGCAGCTGAACTATATCTAGGTCTATAAAAGAATCCGGTTCCTCCTAGAAAAGAATGAATGCCCTGTAATACGGATCTTGGGGAGCTGAGAGAACAAAGGGTGTCGAAGCCCATATTTTGGGTATAAGAACCCCTCAATCAGCAGAGGACCAGGAGAGTGGATCTTAGCTGGGGCCATCAAAGGAATGAGCATATATATATATAGATACAGTCTTTCCTAGCTCTCCAGAGGGATTTTCTCTACTCCAGAATGTGGAAGCAGTCACAGAATTGTCAGAGTTTCAAAACAGAAGACAGATAAGGTCATGGGAGAGAACCTGTGCCAAAAGCAAGTCAATCAAAGTCTCGTCGTCCTGAGCAAGGGACATTTTGTACCACTCGGGGAGTCAAAAGCTCATGAGGATTTTTGGGGAGGCCTGGATATGAGGAGCTGGAAAACTGGGGATAATGCACGGTGTGCCTAACTCTCTGCTGTCCCTGTTATCACATTTTCCACCATTCACCAGTAGCTAAATTTCAGCAGTTTTGCTGCATGTTCCCCTATTGTATTAGGTCAGGGTGTTAGAAAATAAATGTGAAGCTAGATAAGACAAGTGTTATTCCTATTGTAAGGGAAATTGTGGTAAAAACAATAACATATAGAGTTGTATGATCTGTTTGGTTTCTAACTCTGGTCCTTGAAACCTACATGCCTTATGGTTATCTCTGTAGCTGACGTCTGTTACAATATTGAACCCTAAACTGACCTAACTATAGCGCTGATGAGATTTTTTTAAATCTGTTCTCAAGGAAGGTGCGGGTTTGCCTGATCGTCTTTCCTAAGTAACTTAGGCAGACGAAATTACATGAAAGTGCTGTCGTGCACTAGCGGCAAATTTAAACCGCAGGTGTGCGTCACTGAACAGTGTTCTGAAACTGACAACTCAGACCAATTAAAGAACAGAAACACTTCCTGTATCCTGTAAGGTTCTGCAGTAAGTTGAATTGCACTTTTAGGTATGCTGTCAAGATGCTAAACCTCCTTTCATTCCTGCAGTATATTGCTGCTGGAGCGTAACTGTCGCAAACATGAGTTTAGGCTGCTGAGGTTTGAAGGCCATTGCCGCAATCTCAATTGAAATAAGGAAGTTAGTCTAAACCTTAGTTCATGCTTCTGTCATACGTGCAAGTGTGTAACCTACCTATTGTAAATTTTATATTTGGATTGTAAGTTGCCTGGACGAGCGGGTCTGCTAAGAAAAAAGTAGCGCTACTTTAAGGAAACAAAGGGAGTTGATTTAAGCAGGGCTGCAATACAATTGCGCACACCAAGCTGTCCGCACCACCAGCTGAAGCTGAATGGAAAACAATGCTTATGTTGGAATGTAGTTGGGTTTTTTTTTATGTGTTGTATTATGTAATACAGACAAAAGAAGGCACGAAAAAGCGAGGGATAAAATGCAAAATGTTACACGTTTCAATTCGAGTTTGTGTTGTAATTGCAGCCTTTGTTATCAGTGCACCACGATTTCTTCACATGCTGTTGGCGGATATCTAGTTTTTCCTTTACTGATTGTAATTTTCTTTACATGCAATATCCTTGCATTTCATTACAGTGTGTGCACAGCCTGGGGCTCCAGAACCCTGTTCAGCTCCATTCTCTTTTCTTGATATAAAGGCACATGTTGTATGGACTAATTAACCTATTTGAAAACGATGCAGACCACCAGGTGTGAGCATTTATTACTGCATTTTTAGCTGACTGGGTCAATGGTTGTAAGGATGCTGTCCAGTTTGAGTGTTCAGTATCTGAAGATCCATTTGTTCACAACCTCATATCAGTCCCCATTTTGCATCTCTCATGTCCTGCAGGATCCCCAGATCAGGAAGATGTAAACCAGAATGGCTTGAGTTCACAGAACAACCTCTTTCAAGGTAAAGAGAAGCTGCACTTACAGTGTGTTACTTCATTTGCCTCCCTTCAGAGATCGAGTACTTGACAATGCCAGTAGCACCTACAGCTGGACTACAGGCAGAATGTATCAAAAACAAATTACGCTGTAAGATATTGAAATTAGGATTCTAATCATCATCATCATCTCAGATTTTTCAGATGCTCCCATTAACTGCACCTTTTTTTTTTCTGTCCAACGCAAACTTTGCATTTTGCCAAAAAGGTGTTTGGCCAAGGTTACAACATTTTGCTTTGTCTGCACGTTCGCTGTTCTCAACGAAGGGAGGTTGTTGATTTTGATGCATGCTTTTTCTCTGCATTCAGGTACTTCTCTTTCTCTTTCCCTCTAGACTGCCATACCTGACAGAGGAATGGATGGGCTGTGGGGAAACAACATCTGCGCTCTCGCAGATCATTAACCTGCCAGCCTGAAACCGGAGCTTAATTCGATGACCAGGTCCGATAACGCAAAAGGACTGTGATCTGATCCACGAAAGAGACCCACTCTGGCTCTTCCAAGAAAGAAGGAAAATCATACCATTCCTCTCCAAAGCCACTATGGTTTTGTGTGGCTTCCATCATATTGCAAATAGCAGCAAGGGAGGAACAGCCTCTACACAGAGCCAAGTTCTAATCATGCGTAATTGGAAATGCTGTCCTCACAATGTCATGGTTTAGGCTCCCTTTCAAGAAAGAAAAGAGTAAAAAAAAAAATGTCAAGATCTGCGGTTAAGTGTCAGAATGGCCTTGCAGACAGGCTCGAGTGAGGTGTTTCTAGGATCTGAAAAGGGTGGAAGCTGTCTGGCATTTTGGCAAAATGTTTTATGATCTTTGATGTAGGACCAGACTGAGAGGCTGTGATAGGGGAAAAAAAAGCTAGGGATTGGATCCCCCTTTGGAACTGTGAATCATCTTTGATAAGAAAGCCATCGGTCAGCAGCCATCATGCAGAATGTCAATATGGCCTGAAACCGCTTGCACAGGGAGGCAGGGAGGTGAGTGACGCCTTATTTGTAAGAGGCTTGTTTCCTCCATGACGTGAGGTTTGCTCTGAGTCTCTCTAGGACACACCAGGTTGTTTCCTTTTGACAGACCAGGATCATGGGCTCAGTTATCATTTCTATGATAGAGCCTCCAAAAAAAGCAATATCATTTCTCTACCAAAGGCCTGAGCTGCTTGTGACATAGTTGCTCTAACTATATCATGCTGGTGTATGGTTTTCCTGCACAGGCCCTGGATGTGTGCGTAGGAGTAGTCTTTTATTCAATTTAATTACCATTTTGTCTTGATGTCGAATCCTCCATTATTGTAAAAACAACCACTTATACGAAGTCCAGCGGGATGATCAGTACACAGACAGGTCCATCCAGTTCCTCTGAACTCTTCTGGTTTTAAAAGTAAAAGCTTTATTAACTTTTATTGACTTATTTTCTTAACAAAGGAAAGAGCTCTTGGTTTGTATACTTACACCCTAGTATGATGATTTTGTTTTGCAATCAAAAAGCCAGGGGTGGTCTTCTCTGTACTATGAAACGTTATAGCTTTTATTTCCATAAATTCTTTTTTTTATTTTTTTTTTGTAGGGATTGAAATTTGAGTCTTTATGTCACGACTTGAAATAAAAAGTTTTATTTCCCCCAGGTGATGTTACTAAAGAAGCATGTTGCTGAGTACTGCACAGTTCTGATTCTTTGCTGTACGTTTCCCTAATGAACCACAGGGGCAAAATGAATGTGATCGTGGCAATTCTGCAAAGAGCACTCCAATTGATAAAACCCCAAGAACAGCCACCCCATGAGGAAGAATGCGAAGCAGGAAGTGCTGATATCCGTCACCTTCACCAGAATTCTGTTCTGCTTCAAGTGCTGTGAACCACCACTATATTACCAAAAAAAGCCTTAACCACAGATCCAAGCAATGCCCCAGGCTTTGAGTGAAAAACAGACTAATTCCCTGAGTTTTATTCCCAACTACATGACAACCAAAATAAAGACTTGGGTGCCCTGAGGAGCTGGCAAAAAGGAAATGCAGGGCTTCTTGATAGTTGATGAAGGGTCGAGACAAAGTAAAAGCAAGGTCAACGAAGAGGGTTAATACCTTTTGCATATCAAGGTTACTAATTAATATCTACTCCTTTAAACACAAAATTGAATTTTCTAGAATGTCTTCGGTGCAGGTAACATGCTTAATTTAACTAGGCATGGAAGAAAAGAATCCCAAGGCTTTATATGCAGAAATGAAATAGAAAGATTTAAGGCACCGTTTCCAGGAGACAATAGAAATGCAGACAATGGAGAAGACGTGGCTGCCTTCGTCCATCGTATTATAGTCCAACCTATTCAAAACTATGAGGAAAGCGAGACAGACTTCTCCAGTTTTCCACTGGAAATGTAACTTTACATTTCCAGTTAGCTGGTAGCCATGAAGATGGAACACTTCATAACACAGCAGGTACATGCTGTAAATAAATGTTAGTAAATAATATATTCATAACTAATAAATTAGTGGCTCTTTCACAATGCAATACTAGAATTGTGACTTTTGCAGGTGCCAACTCAACAGAAGCATGCCATAGGTCGCCAAAGCACTCTTTAGCTTTTCCCCCACATCAGTCTTGCTGTATAACATATTGCTGTATTTTAATGGCGCTTAAGTAAATTTTGTTCTATGCCCTTGCTTTTGCAATATAAAGATTTCTACCATCTAGTCAAAGGAAAGAGCACATTGTCAGAGAAACAGCTTGTAATGTTCCACACAGCGTAATACAGACCTGGTCATTTCCAGCTTCCTATTGCTGTTTGACAAACTTCAAATAAGAGCCCACAGGTTTCCATATGTGCCCCTGAGATTCACCCTCCCCCCAAAAAATAAGAGCCACGGGAAGGCTATCATAGCAGCTTTATTTTAACAAATGTATTACATTCTCATAAATTATGACATGGACTTTTCTATATAGCTCTCAATTCTCTTTTATTGCACTACTGCATAAAGGGTTTGGAAGCTTTAACACCTTTGTATTGTAAATTCTTTTAGACTAGACTAAAAAAAAATTCAGTCACTTAAACAGCCCACAACAAAGGTGTGTGGGTGCCTTTAGCCACTGAGAGTTACTGGGATAAAAGACCTTTTGTCATGTAAATGCCCACCCCCCCACCCCACCCCCAACAAAAGAAACAGAGCAGAGGACTAAGGCTCAAATCATGGATAAGTCATTGGAATTTCCATAGCAGGTACCTCAAGGTGCAACAGTAAAACCTACAGGCAGGATCCCTCACAAGATCTGAGACATTTCAGATTTCATAGCCGGGCTGAGATTATCTACTGCACAAAGCTGTGAATCGGTGGAGAGTAATACAGGCACTATGGTAACTTCTTTCTCCAGGGGTTTGACTTTGGCTGGATTCAGTTGTGGTTAAGACCGGATTTTCCAGACATAGGACTGCGTCTTCAGAACACCGAATAGAGTTCTGCTGTGAGCTGGACAGCTAGTTGTGATAAACAATAGTTCTGCCTCGCGATCTTCAAAAATGGACATCAGAACAAGAGCAAACAAAAAAAATAAATAAAAAACAATGCCACTTTAACCATTTGCCACTTTTAAACGATTTCGTAAAAAGTCATCATTCCCTGAACTATGACAGAAAACTAATTTGTGTTGATAAAACATATTCAAACGGGGATACAGGAATTCTCAGCTTCAGGTCTCTTGCGTCTAGCCAGCCCCCAACAGCCGGAGCAGGGCTGAGGTAAACGTCAGCTGGACCCCAGGTCTCATAAGGAGAAGGGCTCAAACAGGAGGATCTCACAGTACAGTCTCTTCCCAACGACGCATGCTGTCGTGAGCAGGGTTCGGTTCCACCCCATGTCCAAACGGTGCCAAGCCTGTGTGTGTCATGTGTGCACATGGTCTGTGGGTGTGAAGATGGAAGCTGCTGCAGGACTGGAATTCTCAAAAGCGGGCGGCCAGGGGGAGAGCGATGGCGGTCGCGTCTCCCTCTAGGCCTTCATGAGGGCGCCGACCACAGCCTTGGCGTTGAGGCTACGCAGGTCGCTATAGGTCTGCCCAGTGCCCACAAACACGATGGGCTGGCCGGTGATGTACGTCATCGAAATGGCAGCCCCCACCTGAGGAACCACAGAACAACAGAGGAAAGGGGTGAGAAACCCAGGATCATGCCCTTAGTGGGAACTGGGAAATCATGTTAGATCATAAGGTCACTAATAACTCCTTACACTTATATAGCGCTTTTCTGGACACTCTACTCAAAGCGTTTTACAGGTAATGGGGACTCCCCTCCATCACCACCAGTGTGCAGCCCCCACCTGGATGATGCAACGGCAGCCATAGTGCGCCAGTACGCTCCCAAAACATCTGCAGATTTTAACACTGCATTGCAATCACCCCATTACTACAGCCGGCTCCATCTTTCTATGTAAAATATATATTTAGGGATTCTTATTTTTTCCACCCCATTTAAAAAGAAGCTCATGGTTTTATCTTTCCCCTCCCTTTGAACCGGGAAAACTAAACCCCCTTAACCACTTCATATAGGACTTCCATATAGGAGAAAAATGAGTTCCTGAACTGAACTGTTGCCCGCTGCTATACAAACCTTGTCGTCGATGGTGTCGAACTTGGTGAGGACGATGCCGTCGATGAGCCGCGGTTTATCAGACATGGAGTGGTCAGCCAGGGCCTGGTTAAACTTGACCTGCGGGGGGACGCAAAGCCACAGCCTGACTTGTGGGGACAAAACGCGCACCAGATGCCCACAAACCCGCAAAATGACAAAAGCAGCACGGTATTTACTGTCCGTGCTGAAAAAGACCCGCATTCTTAAGATTCTTGGATCCTGAATGCGCCTGAAACAGCGACTTGCGGACAAGCACAGGAGCGCCCTCTCCTGGAATGTTACCGGTAATGGCCTGCAACTTGAAATGCGCCCCTCCCGCTTTTCAAATCAAACAAATAAAACACACCAATCAAAATGAATAGCACAAGGCAGCAGATACATTTCACAATATAACTCCAATAGTTCCCCCCAGGTAAGTCAAGTGGGGAGGGGAAGAAAACTTGAAAAACGTCTCCCACTTAGCCTGCTCTCTCTCTCTCACTCACTCACACAGAGCAAGGACGCGGCGGGCACTGACCAGCTGGTCGACGGCCTCATTGCCCACCAGGGCCTCCCCCACGAACAGCACCAGGTCGGGCATGTTGACGGCGATCAGCTTGGCCAGGGCGGTCATCAGGGGGGCGTTGTCCTGCATGCGGCCTGCTGTGTCCACCAGCACCACGTCAAAACCCTGGTTCCGGGCTGAGCGGGGAAAAAAAGCAGGTCTTTTTTTGCTTTTCTGCAAACAAGATCTCGGCCTGGCAAAGCCAAACAAATCTGCTAATTGAGCCGTAGTCTATATGTGACAGCATAACATTAAAAAATAGGAAAAATAATAATTCCTGACACTTTTATAGCGCTTTTCTGGACACTCCACTCAAAGCGCTTTACAGGTAATGGGGACTCCCCTCCACCACCACCACCAGTATCCCCACCTGGATGATGCACCAGTACTCTCACCACACACCACCTCTTAGTGGGGAGGAGAGCAGAGTGATGGAAGATTTCGAGAAACTCCCTGGGATTTTTAATGACCACAGAGTCAGGACCTTGGTTTTACAGTTGCAAGAAAAAGTTTGTGAACCATTTCCAACATTAATTGCTCATAAAAATGTGGTCTGAAAAAGTAGGGCTACTAAGTCACAATAAAAGACAAACACAATTTGCTTAAACTAATAACACACAAACAATTGTACTTCTTGTCAATATTTAACACTCGTTGAGAAAGGGTTTTTCTTGCAACTGCACGTCTCATCTGAAGGACGGCGCCTTTTTATAGTATATTGTCCCCGTCACTATACTGGGGCATTAGGACCCACATGGACTGCAGGGTGAGTGCCCCCTGCTGGTCCCACTAACACCTCTTCATGCAGCTACCTTAGTTTTCCCAGGAGGTCTCCCATCCAGGTACTGACCAGGCTCACACCTGCTGAGCTGCAGTGGGGCTGGGAGCTGGGGGGTGCTGTGTGTTCTGGCTGCTGGTCGGTTCTCTTGTCTGTTCCTGGAGCCTTCTGCAGTTTTTGCTTTTTGTTTTGTTTTTGCGTGGGGGGTGGGGGCTGGGGGCCTGCGGTTACCGTAGGCGATGGCCTCCATGGCGATGCCGGCGGCGTCCTTGCCGTAGCCCTTCTCGTAGAGCTGCACGCGGGGCCGCCCGCCGGCCTGCGCCTCGGGCGGGTGCAGGGCGCTGAGGCGCCGCTGGTGGGTGCGCAGCTGCTCCACCGCCCCGGCCCGGAAGGTGTCGCAGGCGGCGATCAGCACCGTGAAGCCGTTCTCGATGAGCCAGAAGGAGATCTGCGGAGGACGGGGGAGCAGTGAGACCGCAGCTACCGTCCTCTCAAGCTGCGACGGGCTGATAAGGACGTTTTCTTCCCCCAAACGTTTGCCTTTGGATTTTGGCACATACCCTTGGCTGACCACCTCGAGATGAATGCAAACGGCCCGAGAGACTGAAACGTCTGGGATCAATTAACTCCGCACTATCAAAACGACCTAGAGGGGTCCAATGGGGCCTTTGTGACCGTTCTTACGCTGGGGCAGGCTAATGATGACACTAAGGCAGTGTAGTGTAGTGTATTATGTTCACACTTGTTTTTTTCCACCTTTTTTTTACATTTTTGTAAATTACCTGGCGTGTGACCAACTTGGGACGAATTTAACAGCTCCAGCGACTGAACCGTCTGGATGAAACCCTGGGATCAATTAACCACTCACTACCAAACGAGCTAGAGGGGGCAAATGAGGACGGTGCCTTTTTACTTTTGTAACCGTCCTTGAGTTCTAAAGGCCCCAGCCCATTTCAAGGAGCTCGTTTTTGTACGTCGCCAACTCGGAACTCCAGCTCCGGTTTCGCGCTCCCCAGAACACCGTGACCACCAAGGGAACGCTCTCCCTTCCTCAAGGGGCTCCGCCTTTGGTGCTGCTGCCAGCTCGGCGGCCGCTGACCTTGGCCAGGTTGGTGGACTTGCCGACGCCGTTCACGCCGCAGAAGGTGATGATGAAGGGCCGGCGCTGAGCCTGCGCCTCCAGCACGTCTCTCAGGATGTCCACGCGCCGCTTGGGCTGCAGGATCTGGACCAGGGAGTCCTGGAGGGCCTGCTTCACGGTGGAGGTGACGGCTGAGGGACACACACACACACGTCACGCGCCGAGAGGGAGACGGCTTTCCGCACAGAGGACAAGCCCCCACCTCACAGCTGCATCCCATATAAGCAGCTTTCACACAGAAGAATATGTAACAGGCTGGACCAACAGCCAAGCACCCAAATCTGCGCTGTTCGGTGCCATTTACTGTCTTTGTCTTTTTTCAACCTCGAAATACCAGTGGACCGGCGCGTGAGTGCACCCTCAGGCCTAGAATCGGACTGAAAAACAATAATTGCTTACACTTATGTAGCGCTTTTTTAAACACTCCGCTCAAAGTGCTTTATAGGTATTGGGGACTCCCCTCCACCCCCACCCGTGTGCAGCCCCACCTGGATGATGCTCCAGTACTCAGTCGGGGCGGAGAGCAGAGTGATGAAGCCAGTTCAGAGACGGGGATTATTAGGAGGCCGTGACTGGTAAAGGCCAGGGGAAAATTTGGCCAGGACGCCGGTGTAACACCCCTACTCTTTTCGAGAAATGCCGTGAAATTTTTAATGACCACAGACCTAGGTTTTACATCTCATCAGAGGTTTTTATGGCCTAGTGTCCCCATCACTATACTAGGGCATTAGGACGCACACAGATCGCGAGTGAGCGCCCCCTACTGGTCCCACTAACACCTCTCCGAGCAGCAACCTTGGTTTTTCCATCAGTACCATCTAGGTACTGGCCAGGCTCACACCTGCTGAGGTTCAGGGCGTTGTCAGCTGCGAGATGCAGGGTGACATGGCTGCTGGTGATATTTCAAAGCGATTGAAAAAAAAACGGGCACTGTGCCACGCTGTGTATCGGATGCTCACCACAGACCTGGGCTGAATTAGCACATTAAAAGTGGCTAAAGGAGCAGGTAGCTCATGCCTCGTAAAAGCACCTCGTTGTAAGCACACTGTCTCTTCAACGACGCGTGAAGATCCGATCAGACTACATCAGCGCCAGTCCGCCGACCTCTGAAGCCGTTCACTGTCAGCGCTGTCTGGCATCAGACCCTACGACGCACACTTCCGAGCTCAGAGGCGTTGGCAGGGGTACTCACTGGTGAAGGTGCCCATGGCTTTGCCCTCCAGCTTTTTTGCCACGGATTCGCAGAGCTGAGAGGCAATGTCGGCTGCTACATTCTTCGCTGCATGAAAAAAAAAAGGGGGGCATTTGACAAACGAGTTTTAGCTTTGTTCAGGTGCCACAGCAGAAATTTTGAACAAAACCTCCAGCACCATTCCTGTTTTGTAGACCTGCTGCACAGTCAGCTTATGCCTCATAATATGGATATACAAGTGATCATTTGAGATGAAGAATAAAACTGCAAACAGCTCTTACGCCCAATCATCCCGAAGCCCGTAATGACGAAACACACTTCTCATTCTCAAGCCTCAACATAGCGCCTTACTGAGTAAAGATGGGGTTTTTATAATGAGAGGGGTCAAACGGTCCTGTACACTCTTCATTCCCAGCTAAAATCGATGTGTGGCCGAACCGCCTTAACATTTTCTTCAGCCTGTTAGCAATGTTTTTTTTCCTGCAAATGCAGTTCCTGGACAGGTCAATAGTGCACTGCCCCCCGCAGTCTGTCATACCGATGAGATGGTCCCTCATCTTCTCCAGCACAGGCTCCATGTCCTCCTGGGTCAGGCTCTTGGAGCCCACGAGACCCTTCAGCATGCTGAACATCCCCCCGAAGCCTCCTTTCTTAGAGCTGGGAAAAGCAGAGAACGATTAGTCCGTCGCAGATTTCTAAAACACCTGTTTCTACACTCAAGGCACAGGGTTTCACATAATAACAGAAACTGCACCCGCACGCGTCTCATCTGCCTGAACACCGAAGGAGCCACTCCACTGTGTGCACTCTGCACGCGTCTCATCTGCCTGAACACCGAAGGAGCCACTCCACTGTGTTCACTCTGCACGTGGTCTCATCTGCCTGAACACCGAAGGAGCCACTCCACTGTGTTCACTCTGCACGTGGTCTCATCTGCCTGAACACCGAAGGAGCTACTCCACTGTCTTCATTCTGCACATGGTCTCATCTGCCTGAACACCGAAGGAGCCACTCCACTGTGTTCACTCTGCACGGGTCTCATCTGCCTGAACACCGAAGGAGCCACTCCACTGTGTTCACTCTGCACGGGTCTCATCTGCCTGAACACCGAAGGAGCCACTCCACTGTCTTCATGTGCTCTTTCATGCCTAAAAATAAGCAACATCTGTTTTTGCTGTAAAATGACAACCCCTGCCTCACCTTTTCTTACTGGCACTGGAGACCACCTGCTCCTCCTCCTCCTCCTCTTCCTCCTCCTCCTCCTCCTCTTCCTCGCTGGACTCGTAATCCACCGGGCGCAGGTCTCCCCCCATGGTACCAGGCTGCACCCCCTGATGGAGACAGGGAGTCTGGGGGTCAGAGCGAAGTCACGCAGCAGGCTGCCACCTCCCTGACGCCCAGCTCCCATTTGACTTGACAAGCTCGAACCCCCGTTCGGCCAATACGAAAAAATGCCGATAATCCGAACGCCTTCGTGCCGAGAGAAGATTACTGTGCTATTAAGAGCAGGGCTGACAAAAATCAGTGGGAGTTAATGATTCCATTTCATTTCCACCCCGTACCGATTTCCCTCCATGGAGTCCCAAGCTTTGACTGCAGTATAGATTATTATACCCGACACTGAATCTAATTCCAAGACAGGGTGGACGCTGACCCGACTGTAACCGGCCCCCCCCCCAGCCAGGCACCTACCAGGTCGGCAGACGTGTCTTCCAGCGTGCCCTCCCCGTCCTGGGCGCCGTTGAAGCTGCTTTTGCTGTAGTCCAGGTCTCTGCTGCTGCTGCCCCCGTTGTCCCACACGCGGTTTTCCTTGCCACGCGGTTTCGGCGGCCGGGGGGACTTGCTGCTGC